CAATCTCCCGCTATTACTTTTAGAGCATAGTATCATTACTCAACCATCAGTAGACACATTTTGCCACCATGTGAATGTCTCGCAGAGAACTAAATCAATCTCTACCCTCTGTTAGTCTAACAACTGGGACACTGATGTAATTCCCGATGGCTGATACATTTTATTTTGTTTTTGTTATTTCACCATTTATGCATGTTTGCAGTTTTTTCTAAGTGTTTTTTGCAGAGTGTTGTGTTAATGCTGATGGAGGTGTTCACCAGAACATGTGAAGAAATCTTAAATGCCTCAGACAACAAGTGCATTCGACAAATAGAACAATTATTCCACTAAATATCAACGTAACAGTAAGGAAGAGTCTGATAGGTAACAGTGAAGACTGTTTTAAACGTTTCGATACTAATGATTAAAATGATCCTGAAAATCCTTTGAAAAATACTGGTCATGAGCGTATAATTGATAAGAAGAAAGTTCTCCACTTATCACTAATATATATATATTATATATATGTATATATATATATATATATATATATACCACAATAAAATCAAATCAATGAGTAATCAAGTTAGCAGTGAAATCAACATGACATTTAACTGAATGTTAACAAAATCCTTTTTCATTAAACAAAATAGGGTAAATGTTGTCTAAATATTCTGAAATTAACTAAATTTGGATCGTCTCGGAGAGATCAGTCAAACTGGAACAGATGATCAGAAGTGAGTCTTCAATTAGAAATGTGAGAAATGAGCAGATAAAGAGACCTGAAACCCATTTTTCTAATCCCTGTTGTTTCATCTCACCTCCTTGGAGGAGCAGAACATTTTTATCAGCACGCGAGAAAAATTGCCTCCTCTTTCTTTCCCCATAAACAAACAAGTTGTGGCGGAGTGTGTGTGTGTGTGTGTGTGTGTGTGTGTTGAGACATCTGTTAGAAAGAGAGAGGTGTTTCTTCATCAGTGTACGCAGCTTGATATCATGAAGCAACATTATAGAATTGGCACGCGATTAAAGTTTCGCCAGTTTGATTCCAGTTCCTGATCACTGGGCTAAATGGGAGTCCTGTGTTGGAGGAGGATGAAAGCTACGCACACCCACCCACACACACAGATCTACTGTTCAAATTTGTAAAGTAGAATCAAAATCAAAACTCTTATCTCAAAAAGCATCGAGTGCTCAGGGCTCTATCGCACAAACAAACACACACACAGGCTGCCATCTGTGACACTGTGCGATAGTGTGTGCGTGTGTACATGTGTGTTTGGTGTGTGTGTGTGTTTGATGCTCAGAGTGCAGCAGACGCGAGGGCTATTACAAACTCAGCCGGTGGGAGGTTATATTTAGGAGCTGTGGGCTTTTTATACACTTACACAAATTTCAGTGGAGACCCAGTTTGACCCTGTGAAGATGGCAAGTGATGGCTGCCATGGCAACCATTAATGGATATGTATGTGTTGGTACAGTATGTAGTTGTGTGTGTAGAAAAAAAAATGCACAGAAATGTTTCAGCGTTTACTCTACCAGCTGAAATCCTCCTCTTTTATTGATTCATAGCTTCAGATGTGTTTTTCTTCCATCGCCTTGCAGCGTGTTGGCACTGTAATGTAGATTATCAGTCTCTCACATCTGTTTGAAGGTTGTGGATATCAAACAGCAGCAGGTTGGGACTATTTTTTAGTATCTGGTTAAGCATCAGAAGTTTCTTCTCTATCTTAGAGAGACATCAGCATGAATCATCAAATTGGCCACTGAGTTCATAGGTAGTGTTTCAAAATGAGCAAAAGTGGGAAATAGCAAAGTTCTTTTTTTATGTGTCTCTACTTTTCTGTATTTATTTTTCTTTCTACTCCTGACATTTTCAATAGGCTTCATTCTTCTTTAGTTTTCCTGCATTTGAGGGAAATTATCTATTATTATTGTTTTTTGCATCGTTGCACGCCTTCCCAACATCGAGACCGGCCAACATCGTGCATGACAAACGTAACAAGAACTGACAGACAAGAGAGGGAGACTTGACCGTAATTGAAGTTTCAGTTAGCTTTCCACAGGAACAGCCAGTAATAATGTCCTTCAGAGAAACAAAGAGAATACTTTTTGCTTTTATACTCTCAGCACAAGTTGTACCCTGTGCTTTTTTACTTCAGATTGAGTAAATAAGTTGAATCAGTACTTCTACTTTTAAGTATCTGTCCTTCTACTTGAGTAAAGAATGTGTGTACTCTTTCCATCTCTGATGAATGTAGATGAATGTACTTAACCATAGTGGACGCTGAAGGTCTTCTTAGGCTGCACATTGTTTCAAGTGCAGCAGAGTCTACTAATACCTGTGGCTGTGCCCTTAAAAATAACAAACACACCCCAGAATAATAATAATTAAGGTTTTTCTCTCCCAAAACCAATTCTAATATCTAAACTCAGAGTATAACAATACTGAGTATCAGACTTATAATTAGTCTGTTTAAAACCTTTATAACAGCTACTTCATTATGTGGAACTCATTGGGATGAATAAGACAGTATTATGCTCCAGGGATGTAAATGTGGTGCCAATAATTGAGTCAGCACTACACTGTGACTGAATGAATTTATGCTCATTTATAAAGACACTGACAAAGAAACTGTGTTTAATGTGGATCAGTCACGTCTGGCCTCTTTCTGTTCCCCTCTATAAGGTCAGATCCGATCAGAACATCCCTAAAAATACTGCGTCATGCATTGCCTCCATTTATCAGTTTCTTTATTGCAGTGGTGGAAAGTACTGTACTTCAAGGTATTTTACCTTTACTTGAGTATTTCATTTTCATATAACTTTATACTTGTAAATGTTTTCAGATTACAATTTTTAAAAATACCCTTCCTGTCCAGTGAAAACCATGTTGTTCCAAATCTGATGTTTCAGACAGTCTGAAGAATTAAGTGTTCCTTTATGAGAAAATTCTTCTCCTTAAGCTAAATAAACTATTTAATCCCCCTGCGTACTTAATACTTACATACTTTTGCTACTTCTCTTACTTTTATTTGTAGTGGAGTATTTTCACAGGGACTTTTACTTAAACCTGCTACAAGGAGTTTTTAACTGGTTATGAAATAGTCTTTATTACTGACACCTCTATATAACCTCTATAGGCATACAAGACCATCAGCAGGAACACTTGCTATTTCTGTTGTTCTTCAAGCCTGTCACTGTGTTGGATTCCCCTTGAAATCAATTTAAAGAGGTGGTGGAAACAGTACCGTGTTTGTCCACAGGGGTCGCCAGAATCACCAAAAAATTTTCCATTATGGCTTTTATGACACTGTGGGGGGGGTGCTGTGTTAAAAACACCAAAATAATGCATAAATATAAATAATTAAGGTGCATTGAAATTACTATTAACACAACACAGTATGCCCAATTCTCCGTATTCTGTCTGAGAAGCTCTTAGGTTAAATATCCAAATAAAATAATAGCCTATAATCAGTTTTGGAGCATCTGGGGTTGTCCTCCTTTTTTTTTACGACCTAGAAACTATAACAGACTCAGACTTCTTAGCTCAGCCTGAAGCCACACTTGGCAGACTCTCTGTCTGCCTGCTCCTCAGTGACTGGCCAGCTAATCTGTCAGTCACCTGAACACACGGGTCACAATCTCCTGAATGGTCTGACGTTTGCTGGGTCAGCACTACCCTGTGTGTGTGTGTGTGTGTGTGTATGGTCTTTAGACTAGCAGCCATAATCAGATTTGTGAAGTCAGAGAGGTCAGTCGCTTGCTGGTCAGAGAAAAACAGAAAACATCTGCACTGCTGTGGGAGTCTGTTTGTGTCATTTTAATTCAGTTTAGTATTGATTTATTGACTGTAACTTAATTGACATTCCTCTTGAAAACCTTCCTGGAAATGTTTCAGCTCACTGCTTTTTTTACACTTTTTATCTAATGAGTTTTGATGTTTTTTTTCAACCCATTAAGAAGCAGCTGGATTTATTTTTCACACAACAACAAATACATAAAAACATAACCTGCAACTTAATAACACATTAGAGCTTTTTAAGTGTCTCTTACACACACTATTTAACATAGCTCACAAAGCCTGTAATTGTACCAGGGACACAGGATGTAATTATCATGTGTACGTGCGACTGTGTAGATATCACTTTTCGCTTGTGTGTGATCACTCAGACATGTGTGTGTGTGTGTGTGTGTGTGTGTGGTGTGTGTGTGGGGGGGGGGGGGGCTGTGGCTGAGATTTTCATCTTTCATATTACAAGTCTGAACGGCCGTTTTTATCTGTTGTGTGTGTGTTTTAATGTCTTGTTTTGGTGTATGTTCCACTATATGTGTGTGTGTGTGTGTGTGTTGTGTGTGTGTGTGTGTGTGTTTGTGCCTACATAATGACCACATTTCACCTGTGTGTGTTCATTCAGAGACGTGTGTGTGTGTTGGTGGTAATTTCCAGCTCGTCTATCTAGAATACAATATGTATTTGTGTATACTGTGTGTGTGTGTGTGTGTGTGTGTTTGTGTGTATGTATGTGTATTGTGTGTGTATATTTACATATGTACTGTTGTGTGTTCATTTACCAGTGTATGGCTGTATGCTTAACTGTGCTCATGGTTACATGTCTGTCTCTGTGTGTGTGTGTGTGTGTGTGTGTGTATGTGTGTATGTGTGTATACATAAGTGCCAGAGTCACAGAGTGGGTCGCTGTTTGCCTCGCTCATAGTGAGCGTCGCCATGGCAACGGCACTAGCAGCGCAGTTTGAAGCGGAGGAAGAGCTTGCGGTGCTCAGCGTGATAGAGAGAGATAGAGAGACTGGTTTCACATGTACACATGATTGGTCAGACTGGTGGATGATGTCATGTATGTAATTGGTGGTTTAACGTGTGTTTCCTCATGACATTATTTTGTGTGTAATAACCTTTTAATTATGGTTACTTGACACAGATGCAACAGTCTCTTTAATGTGTGAGTCCATCTGTCTATTTAAATGTAATCATCGGTTCGGGGTCACAAGAATGAATGATCAAATTGAAACCCAGGAAGCGCAAAGCAGAGAGAGAGAGAGAGAGTAGAGAGAGGAATAGAGGTGTGTGTCATACTGAGCATGCTCTTTGTGTTAACTTCCTGCTCTCTTCTTCCTGACAGAAAAGATCGTTCAGAGAGACCGGCGCTCACCAAGAGCGAGAGGAAGACAGGCAGAGGAGAGGCTCTGAATACGACTGAAGAGAATTCAGCCTAAACTGAGGAACTATCAACAACAGTCAGACTGAACTCAGCTGCGGTGGATTTTTCTGTTGCCTTTTTTGCCTTTTTCTCTGTTTTTAAGGCGAGTCATTCATTGGAACTGACATTAATCTTTTTGTTTGACAGTGAGAATCCCAGTGATGTCTGACTTCAACATCTGCTTGGTAAATGAAAGACTTTGTAATTTTTCTTCTTTGTGAACCTTTTGACCGCCAAGTTTGGCAGAAACTCTGACTGCCGAAGGGGAATTTTTTTTCACTTTGAACTTGCGCAATCTCTTTCATGTTAATTTTTTGCTTCTGTGTTATCTCACTTTATTTTTATCTGATTACTCTTTGTTTAACATAAGAGGAAGACGGGTTGGTGATTGACTCAAGTTTCCCTATCAGGAACTTGAATAGCATTTGCATTCCAGTTTGGCTCTCACAAGGGGACAAATCCTCCCTTGTGACAGACTGTGTGTTTGTGTAGCTGAGTGTTCCTCTGCGATACATTAACTTGTATCAGGGGACAATAACGGGCCCTGTGTGTCTCTTCTGGGAAAATGGGATCAGAAAAGGACTCAGAGTCACCTCACTCCTCAGTGAGCGGCGTCCCCAACCCTAAGTGCCGTGCGGCGGGCAAACGCCAGGGTCGTATCTCCTTTCACAGCCTCTTCCACAGCAAACGGGGCTCTCGGGGCACCAGGGGCCCCAAAGCTGGAGCGGCCGCCCCTTTATCCCATCATCATCACACACAACAACAACTTCTCCCTTCTGCCTTGAGCTCAGCACCTGTCGCAGCCTCTGCTACACCCACAACGACCACCACCACAGCCGCCACGACCCCCCAGGACGCTGCCTCCAGCACCCCCTCAAAGCCACTGTCCTCCAGCCAGCCATCCCTGGGTGGAGCCCCGTCCTCTGGGGATGCCAACCTCCTGGAGTGCCCCCTGTGCCTGGTGCGCCAGCCCGCCGAACAGCTCCCTGAGCTGCTGGGGTGCAGCCACCGCTCCTGCCTCTGCTGCCTGCGGCAGTACCTCCGCATTGAAATCACAGAGAGTCGAGTCCAGCTCAGCTGCCCCGAGTGTGCTGAGAGACTGGCCCCGCAACAGGTGGCGGACATCTTGGATGACGCAGCCCTGCTGGAGAAGTATGAGGAGTTCCTGCTGCGGAGGTGCCTCGCCTCTGATCCAGACTGTCGATGGTGCCCAGCACCTGATTGCGGGTAAGAAACTTTCCACAATGTTTACAGCCTTGTCCTCACTGCTGTCTTTTATTTAAGGTGCTGATGATCTAATCCACGGCCGGCTTATCTGAAACTAATATTTGTGTGATCAATCGTTTAGTAGTCTATAAAAATCTGAAAATTGTGAAAAAGGTCTGTCACAAGCTCTGAAGGCCCCAGTTGACATCATTAAATAGCTTGTTTTGACAACCCAAAACCAAATTATCTTTTATATTTGATTTACAATCATCTAAAACAGGGAAAAGCAACACATCTTTATATTTGAGAAGATGGAACCAGTGAATGTTTGATATTTTAGACATACATTTAGACATTATTTTTAGAAATAATATATTGCCAACTGTTGCCAGTTTCTGGTTAACTTGTTTCCATTTTCCTGTGAATGTGATATTATCGAGTTATCTGATTGGCACACAAATAAAAAAGCTCACAGCACTTATCTCTCATTTGCTGCAAGTTTTGTGCCAGAACTGAAATGAATCCTGTTGCCTTAAGGGAATTCACCTTGTGCAATTAATATAAACCAACAAGTGATTGTGAGAAACAGAAGCTGAACTACTATGAGTGAGACAAAAATAGAAAATGTAGGAAAGCCAGGAGGCATTTAATGATAGACAGGTATTCAATTCAGTAAGTGTTGCTGGAAGTAGATCATATCTGAGAAAGAACTTAATGACATTGAGATCAGTTTCTTGAAGCCTGGACAAATAAACGAAGTTAGTGGTTATTAAGACTAAAATGGAAGAAGTCACAGCTTTATCATCTTGTTTAACATCATTTCTACTTGTCTATTAATCCTTTTCCCTCACTTTCTCTTCCTCTTTCTCCGTATTTTCCTCTCTCTGACTCATTCACTCATTTGCAGTTAGGTTATTTCTTCATTCTTTCTGCTGTAATTGCCTGGATTTCAAATGAACACTGTTGCTTCACAATCCACATAAATTACTGTATTTCTGTGTCTGGCTTGAAGAAAACAGCGTGACCTGTTCTGAGAGAGAAAGAAGGGCTGAGGAAGTCGAATAAGAAAGTGGAGGAGAGAGACCGTAACTGGGTTAGAGGGCTGTAAAGCTCACCCTGTGGTCGCAGGAGGGGAGAGTCAGATTGGTTTGGAGGTAGAGCAGCTCTCGTTAGGCTTCTGGAACAAATGAGAGGCGTTTGTTTCATCATAGAAAGCAGGAGTGATTCATTTTGTTTGTTTCTGTGTGTGTATGTGTGTGTGTGTGGGAAGGAGGGACGCAGATATTCTGTGATATTTTTCTGCTGTGGTTTTGTTCAGTTATACTGGCATTGTCACAGGGGAAGGCCAAAATGTCTGTGTGGTATCTTTGGACAAATCTGTCTATATGTGCCTTCATATGTGTGCATTTCTGTTTGTTTCTGTTTCTCTATGACTAGGTCATTGTCCCTACATGAAGGATGTAAAAAAAATAAACTGTAGGGTAAAATTTTAATGTTTTTGGCAGACATTTAGGAACATTCAACAGCTTTGGGTAGGAAAGTAAAGATACGAGACAGGTAAATCGAAAAACAAATATGTGAAAGTTCAAATCAGTGAGATGAAAATGAATCATGATATCACTTGTGGTATCAAATACATCAGTTTCACTTTACAAAAGGAAATATGCATGGTTTTGCA